AATAAAACTAGGAAACAATACAGGAAAGGCAAAGAATCTAGTTTCTAAATCAAGCACCCAAAGTTACCCGTCCCCTCGTGGGTAAAAGTCCATCCATATGGGAATGGCGCAGAGCAAGGCCCCAAAGCCTGCCTCAAGTCTAAAGCATCTTCCAGTGGGGACCCACAGAAAAGGGTCAAAAACAACCAGACAAGCCCGGAAGGAAAAGAGCAAAATCAACATCAAGATAAAAGCTGCCATGGTCACCTCCCCACAGGTCTCACCCACATCTGTGTCACCCAGTCCACGACCAAAAGACAAGCGCAGTTTCTTCACGTGTCTCTAGGCTCCATGCGCCTCCTCCAGGTCTCCTGGCTCCATCCTGCTTCCTTCCTTCCTCAGTCTCTTCTGCAGCTTCTCCTCTTCCTGCTCAGCTCCACCCTTCCTTGGGTGGGGCAGGGAACCTGGAACCTCCCCCTTTCCTGGGGACCACCCTGTTACAAGTAGATGAATAAATAAATGAAAGAAAACTGACTCTGCAGTGACTTTCAGTTGCTGAAAGTGCAAACAGCTCAGCTTGGTCGAAGAGGCAGTGCTCTCCCCTTCCTTCTACTAAGCTTGACTCTAACATCTGCTGCTTTGGTTCTGATTTAGACCATCATTTCATGCATTTCTTCATCTTCTTTCTCTGTATAGTCTGGCTCAGACTATACAGAAATCTTGGCTTCCATCACTCAACATTTCTGCTTATAACTTGCACATATAAATAATGATCACAATCAACCAAGAAGAATCTATGTTTTAAACATTTATTTTTATTATGCATACAAGAACTAGGGTGTAGGCCAGCAGTGGGTGGAGGGTGTCAGTGATAGGATTCACCAGAGACAAAGTAGGGGCAGAATAGGCAGATCTACTGAAATACACTGCTGAGGGGAGCAGCGGGCAAGACAGGAGAGGTCTGCTGTGCCATGTGGGTTAGCTCCTTGGCTGGGGATCGAGCTCATGTTGTAGTAGCTGGCGATAGCTTGATAGCACTGTCTTTAACCCCAGAGCCACCAGGGAGGCCCATCTCTTGTATACTTTATTAATACTCTGAGCCCTAGTTTACTCATTTATGATAAATTCATATTAAAAACTGTGAGGTATTTCATCAATTTGTTGTAATATATAAGTGTTTTCCAACACCAACAGCTAGTTCACTAATTTTCCAGATTCTAACCCTGTATTCAGCAATTCAATTCAATTCTGAAATTACATTCCTCTAGTTAGTGTCTGGTTGCAGAATTTAAAGGGCTCAGTTCCATAAGACTGCCCCACGTCCCCTTCAGATACCAGTTGGAAGTCCTGGGCTTCCCCAACTTCTTACTCACTGGCTCAATATAATCTCGAGTTCCCATGACCACCTCCTAAGTTTTAATAATTTTCTGAATAGCACACAGAATTCAGAAAGGCACCAATTTATGTTTACCTGTCGTTGTACAGGGTGCAAATGGATAGTCACATGAATAGGTACTTAGATACCTGATTTAGGTCAGGAAGTGTCCCCAGTATAAGAGTTTATGCCTCCTCGGAGTCAGGGTATGCCATTCTCCAGCCACAGGTCTGTGTTTGCCAGCAGGGAAACTTAATCAGATTTCCTTGTTCAAAAAAGTTCATCTCCATCCCTCTCCATCTCCAGAGGTCAGTGTCATCTGAAAATTCTAACCCTTTTTAGTGAGAAGCCCCATCCCTTTCACCTTAAGGGGCTGTAGCATTGGAAGCATTTCAGGATGGAGGAAAGACAACTCAAAATCCAACTAGAGAGAGAGGCCTAGAGGGGCTCACACCTCAGGAGTACAGCGCCTTTCCAAGAGCATCTCACATTAATGGGGATCAGGTTCAGGGAAGGTGGGCAATACCTGGAGGGATGTGCATGGTGGGGTGTGTATTGAGGATGCATAATAGTCTGGCACAAGCTAACTGGGTAATGAATGGGGGCTGTTGTCTGGGGGGCTACATTGTTCCTGCTGATCAAAGTGTCCTATCTCTAGTTCCTATTTTCACTTACGTTTCTGTCCAGGTAGTCTAGCTGGGTATGCTAATTTGGCCAAAAAGTCTGCCTGCCGTTTTCAGCAGGTACTGGTTTCCCGGTATGTCCCCCATACCAACACTTTTGTCCTGGTGAGAAGCCCCCTCCCTGACTGGACCATTTTAGCTTGACCAGCAGGAACTCTAGGTGCCAAGACAATATCCCTAAGAACAAGGGGGACTGGGTTTCCCACACACCCTGAAGGGGTCCTACCCTAAGCTACCTCATTAGCATAAACTCAGGCTAGTTCCAAAGGGGCTCTTCATGAATAACAAATACTTTCCTTTCACTGAGGAAACTCCAAGGGTTTTAAGAACTCTGCCAGGAATAGAAATAAGACCAAATATATTTCATATTATATCACATGATGAATAAATGGAACTCAATGTAAAACAAAATATAGTAAAATATTTTAAGATAATTTTGTGTTCTATAAAGTATTAAATGCTGTTGTAGTAAATGCTTCAAACGGCTTGTCTTTTTAAGAGTCTAAAACACTAGGGAAAATGAAAATGTCCCTTCCATCCAGCCTATCTCTTAGCCAAGCCATTTGCATGGTATTTCAAAATATCCCAACTGCAATAACTTTCCCAACCAATAGCCCTTAGTTTGTCAACAAATACACTGTTTATGAAGACACTTGATCTCCAAACCATACCACAATCCTAGATGTAAAACAGAGGAATAAACCAAGGTTTAAGCCAACCAACGTTTTTTTGATGTCAAGACTAGTAAGTTTGGAAAAGGGATTCAAACTCAAAGTTATCACACATAGACATCCACACCCTACTCATAGCACCTGGATTTCATATGACAGAGGGTCATGAGTTAGATGTTTATTTCACTGGTCACCCCATTTTACAGTCAAGGCAGCCTCCCTGCAGATGCCGCATATGATGTGAAAGGAGACAAAAGAATCACATGCTGATCTGATCTGGGTGTCTGTGCAGAGCATTGTCCTGTTGGGGTCAGCAGGTTGGCTTCTTGCCAACCAGGGATGATGCTTTTTGTAATGAGGAAGTTAAAAAGATAATTATGGAAATTAATTCCTGAACTGCTGTGGCCTGTGAACTCTTCCAAGCAGAACTTTGAAGGGCAGTGCTGCAATGCAGAGCAGACACAGGAAAGCCTTACCTTAGCAGTCTCTTAGGGTGAGAACTGTACTATTTTCATACAACCTTCCATAGTGTTATTAATAAGAATGTGTGTGTGTGCATGCACACACACATGCACCATGGTATGATTACATGCCAATGAGCATTCCTGTCACCTGACATACAGATGTTGCGTTAACCAATTAACTTATTGGACTAAATAGGCTAAATCAAACTTAATGGCATCAACTTGCTGTACCAGGAGAGAAATAAATTAGGACAAATGTATTTTAAATGTCATTCAGAATGAAGGGATGTAAAGGGAAAGAAGGAAAGAAAAGAGAAAATGGAATCTAATCCCTAATCTACTCATTTCTTCCCATTGCCAGAAACTGCCTAATCTAGTTTTCCAGATAGATTAGAAAATATCCCAGCTTGCAAAAGCTTGTCAGTGCCCCACCACACTGTACACCAAGCCAAGCTCAGGGCATGGGGAAATTCAAGATCAGTGCTAAGAAATGCATTTCCTAGGTTTTAAAATATTCTTTGGTCATGATCTGATTTCTTTTTAACCAGTCTAAACTCCTTCCAGCTCTGTGCTTCAGCTAATATGAAGGGCAGTAAGCATGCTTCAAATGTGAATTCTGAGAGGTCACTACAGAAACATTCTTCTGGAATTCTTTGTGGTTTAGAGGGAAATATCCACAAGTAAGGTGCAGGTATCACCAAAAAAACAGAAGGAAAAAGGGCCACATATTTCTATTTTCTAATACTGCCAAGGTGCACACCTCCTATAATTTTCAGAGACCCACACTATAATTCACTCTCTGTCCTATGATCTGCCTCTTTTCTCTCTTTCATTAGATTTAATTCAGTAATCACACCCTATAAGCCATTCAGGCAGAAATACCCTTGCTGATTGCAACTTTCACCAGCTAGTCCATGAATATTGCTGTACCGTGTGCTTATGTGTGTATCTACATACCAGAGTAAGAAAGAGAATACTGTCTTTATCAGGCCAGCTCCACGGTAGCTGCCTTCTCACTGTGTCTTCAGTTTGCTCCACCAGGCCCCTCTCCCCAGGTTGTATCCCTGAGAGTTGCAATTCCATCCTTCAGAGTGGCAATACCAGTGGGAGAATTGTCCTCCCTAACCACACACCATTTGTGTTGTGTGAAATTCCTTGTTCCTCCTTTCAATTTTTTTGAAAGACCTGAACCCTGAGTGCAGTGCAGACCATCACCTCTCTTTATGACCCCTCCTTATAACTTTGCTGTCTCTAGGTAAAGCTTTTTAGAAATTTCTCTCTAAACCATTCCCCTTACGTTTCAACATATTTCTGTTTCAGCATTATCTATCTGCTTTTTGCCCGTGTTCTTTTTTGAGCCTCTTGCTCACCCCCAGTTTGTTTCCTCTATGTGATTATCTCTTGCTTATCCCCAAGTGAACTTGTGAACATGGTTTCCTTTTGCTTCCTTTACCTCTTGTGTGGCATGTATATGTCAATTCTCCCTTCCTCTGGGAGAGGTGTAAGGAGTAGCAGTTGCTGAATGGTCTGTGCCTTTTCGTTTAGAAGATGTATCTGTGTCTCTCCACTGCCTTGTTTCATATCTTTATGCATGAGCAGCATCACTCAAGCCGAGCTAAAGCTTAACAGCCTGAAACTGCACAATGCACATCCCATAAAAAAATGGTTCAGGTTCCCAAATGAATATGAAACATTGATTTGTATGGTAGCGAAGTTAAAGGGCCTAAGGAGGCCAAGATTTTGTATTTTTAATACTTTTCCTTTATATGGGAGCCTAAAGAATTGTTGATTTACATTCTAAAAGATCACACAGAAGCCATAGCATTGAGTCCCTTTATACTGAACAATGAATCTGAGGATTGCAAATGCATATTCTAAGGGAGGAATAAAGGAAGGCAGCAAATCACAGCAAGTCTCAGTGTTACTTGGGACAAGGGCAGGGCCACCCACTTGACATCAGTTTGCTCCTGTTTGCACCTAGCTCTTATGTGTAGCCTCTGGATATGGCCATGGCATTGCCCATTTTCTCTTTCCCGGCATTAAATGAACAGGGTCCTTTTCTGCAGGGAAAAGAGATAAAAACATGGTGACATAGGATAGGGAGAAATAAAAGAGGAGGAAATATACAGAAAACAGACTTCTAGGTATCAGCAGCACTTTTAATAATTTTTAATTTGCACACACTTGGATCAGCATATGCTTTTATTTTCTATATATGTATGTATATGCACACAAATAGTAAAACAGTGTGTATATATGGATAGATACACACATTCATACATGAATGGAAGTAAGAAAAGGATAAACACAGAGAACCGTGACTGGCAATAAACACAGATAATTTTTCCTTAATAGGAAAGTTAAATACATAGATACAAACGGTATACTATGAAATAACTCTTCAAGCTTAGAAAGAGAAAAGCATTTTCATCACTTTATTACGGGGGTTTTCTAGGAAATGTACGTTAAAATGCGGGTAACTACTGTATGTTCAAGCACAGGGTAGCTGTGTTGATATGAAATGGCTAATCTAATTCTCCCAGTCACTCTCAAAATTAGCGGTTTTAGCCCTGCTTTATGTATTTTTATATATTTTTTTTAGTTTCAGAGATTTTTTAATTTATTATTATTTTTTAATTTCATATATTTTTACATTATTTTTCATTTTTGCACAATGTATGCATTTTCATTTGGTTATTTTAATGATGTACCTTTATTTTACATTCGTGTTAATATTTTGACAGTATAGGGTTTCTCCGCTCAGCTGTGGTCTCCACTTCGCTCTCCCACCACAAAAGCACCCACCGTCCTCCACCATAACCCACTGTGCTCTACCCGCCTCCTCACTCTGTTCTCACCATTCCCCTCACCTTTTTTCCCCTCCCCTGCTCCTGGATGCCTCAGAGCTAAGATCAGCTTTCAAGGGTTGGTTTAAAGTTTGTCTTTAACACTATTTTTATAGATATGGAAACTGTAATTCATACAATATAAATTTCTTCATTTATCTAAAATCACACAAGTAAATTCTGAACAGTACATTTTATTTCATATGACTTCAAAAGATATTTTTTCCTGGGTTTATTTGGGGACACTGTTTTTTTTTTCTATCCATGATAAATGTCTTCTCTGTTGACTCAGTTACTGTCTATAGGTAAGAATGAACCTTCTCAACTAGGAATTAAATGTTAAATTCTGCTGGTCAACATGGTATTTATATATATCAGTCTTCACGGATTTCTTAGTTAAGCATTATTCATACTCTGTAACTGCCCTGATGATGTTCCTTGAATAACCCTTTTGATGATAGGGAGAATCTGTTACAGGACAGGGAGAGGGGCAGCCCAAACCCCCCAAACCTGCCTATTCTAAATGGGTTCTGCCATCCGCCGCATCAACACAAAACATGTGAGACTTTAATGGGAAGGAACTTTAATAAAACTAGGAAACAATACAGGAAAGACAAAGAGTCTAGTTTCTAAATTAAGCACCCAAAGTTACCCGTCCCCTCATGGGTAAAAGTCCATCCAAATGGGATCGGCCCAGAGCAAGGCTCCCAAAGCCTGCCACAAGTCTAAAGCATCTTCCAGTGGGGACCCACAGAAAAGGGTCAGAAACAACCAGACAAGCCCGGAAGGAAAAGAGCAAAATCAAAATCAAGGTAAAAGCTGCCATTGTCACCTCCCCACGGGTCTCACCCACATCTGTGTCACCCTGTCCACGACCAAAAGACAAGCGCAGTTTCTTCACGTGTCTCTAGGCTCCATGTGCCTCCTCCAGGTCTCCTTCTGGCTCCATCCTGCTTCCTTCCTCAGTCTCCTCTGCAGCTTCTTCTCTCTCTGCTCAGCTCCACCCTCCATTTGGATGGGCAGGGAACCTGGAACCTCCCCCTTTCCTGGGGACCACCCTGTTACAATGCCAATCATTTGAGGCCCAGAATATGAGTCTGGGGTTCTCTGGGCAGGGAATTGACACCAATTTGCTCATGTTTCACATTTCTCCTTATAGGGTGAAGGAGTGCCCACCGGACACCCATTTTCCACCTTCCAGGCCATGCCCTCTACACTTGGCATCCTGGAATTCCCACCTAGAGAACCCCTGGCCAAAATTCTAGGTATCAGTTGGTTGGCCTTTTCATATCTGTCCTCAAAAGGGCTGTCCAAGGAATACCTTCAGGGGCTGTTACAGAGTGTGGACAGGAGTATTAGGGGCCCTCATAAGCAGATGCCCAATTGAGGACTTGGCAGGATGAGGAAAGAAGCCTCATTAGACACAGAATTTCAAGAAGTTGAGGTTTCTAAATTGAGACTCATGCCTCTAGGAGGATGTGGTTGTATTATTTGGATGCATAGATTTCCATTGTCATGTTGCCCTAGGCCTCCTATAGAGAAACAGAACTGAATATCCCATTACTCTGATTATATTTTACTGAGGAGAAAAAGTAGTGGTGCTTTCTGGGACTTTCAACATTAATTACAATTTTAAAGACAATTTTATATGATACTTGTTTCTCCAGCTCCCTCTGACCTTGGGGAACAGGTCCGATACTACAAATAGCTGTGAGAGTCTGAACTCACAGAAGCAGTCTCCTGGGACACCAGCTCCCCGCCTCAGGTATCCTCTTCCTGGTGTGTATATCAGGCAGCTCATACTTGCTTCCTGGATCCCATAAAAATGTGACTGCTTAGGATTGGAATTCTTAGCTTCTTCTTTTAATGCTGACCTTTTAGAATCGTGGGGAAGACTATAAATGAAATAAATATAAAATACTAAGTGCAGCGTTTGGCATAAGAACACACAGCCTCAAGTAGCAAAAACACAATAGATGACAGTTTACTTCCTGCCCCCTCCCTTCTGCCAGAGCAATCCTTTTCTGTTAGTGAGAAAACATGAGTATTCCATAACTGGGGTTAATTTATCTTTTCCTCCCAAGCTCTGTTCAAGTTCCTGCAGCACACACATTACCACCCTTCATTCACCTTGTAATGAATGGAAGATGCTCTTGAGACCTGAGATGTCTTTATGTCCAGTCTCTCACCAATCAACTTAAAATCCCAGCACAACTCAAGAGCTACCCGTGGAGTCCCATCCTGGCTTTTCTTGTCCTTACCCTTGGATTCCTTGTTTGATCCCCACCAGATCTGACCCCATGCACTCACTTCTGCGAAACATGGTCACTTCATCTCTGTCATTGGGCTTTTAGTCAGATGAATGTGAAGCACTTATCCAGGAGACCTGGCCTGAGTTGCTGCAAAATGTCACAGCCCATTTGCTTAAAAAAGTAAGAATAAAATCATATTCCCTATTTATCTCTAGCTTTCCAGAGAGAATGGCAGTTGCTGATTTTAATCTATGGTGATGTAGCCTTGCTTCACCTAAAACCCATTGTTTTTCTCACACAGGCATGCAGCACTAAAACCCACCAGAACAGTCTTGTCTGCTGCTTGAACTAGAAGTGCAGGAGATTGTCTTCCCAGAGAGAATTTTCCATTTCTCATTCTCTGCTTCCCATGCTCTTAGCATATCAAGAGGGACTTAGATTTAGGATTGCAGTTCTTCCTTTTTTCTGCATTAAATCAGCATGCAGTGTGTGGTACCTTTCAGATTTAAATATGCAACAGCTTTGTTCAGGGCAATATGGGAAGAAAAGTATGCCCTGTAGTCCTGGCTGTGTTTTGAAACTGAAAGTGATGAGAGGAGAGTATAACCAGAGGCAAGCATTCTGAAAATACTATTATTAGGGGCATTTCTCTGTTGATTTTGTAAGCAGCCTCTGCATTAACAAGAGTTTTAGTATTAGAATAGCTTAATGAGGTGCTAATGAGCAAAGAAGAACTGAGCCCTCTGTTAAGTCCTCCATACTGCATTGTTTACAAGGGGTCAAAGGTTCTCTGTATATTTCTACATAAGCCAAATAATTACAAAACTTTCTAATCCCATTTCAAATATTATCCAGCTATCCTTATCATGTTTTCAGCTTGTGCACGCATGCACGCATGCACACACACACCACACACTCACACACATGCAGAGTGTAAACTGGTGTAGGCAAAGTGGACTAGAAGTGGATTATAGAAAATGGAAAGAAGCTGATCCCCTCATCTCTATTCATTTCTCATAGCGTTAACCACTGGCTTATCGGCAATGAATTTGTGCTCAGCTTGAGTCAGTCACATATTTAATTTGTAACCGACAGGTTACAATCTACCTTTTGATATCCTGCTGGAGTCACATGTGACATGCTTGTGATAGCTGCTGCATGCTGGACATGTTCAAGAGGAACATTTGGGGGAGGACTTTCCCAAAACTCTTAAACAGCTTTATAGTATTAAGCAGGGCTTGCCTTAAGCCAAGAGAGGAAGGAAGTTAGGTGATTTTAACGGCATTGAGAGAGCCCTTTTGCACACTAAACACAATACAGTACAGAGACTAAGTTCCCAATCCTTTTAAAAACCATTTATTTAATAAAAGAATATCAATCCTTTAGACTTTAGAAAGAAGGTTACAAAATAGATATCACTGAAAGATATGGTTGTTTAACACAATCATTCAAATTCATTTCTGGGGTGAGTTAATTGAACATAATTCAATAAAATATTTATTGTGCCCGAAGTCTTTTGAGAATATGTTTTTACAAATATCAGTGTAATTTGCTACCAAATATACTAAGACAACACTTTAAATAAGTTAAGTCATCTTTCAAAAACAAAATGTGATAATTTCTTACCTTGGTATGATATTAAGTGTTTCTAATACCAAATGTTTTTTGAACACTTCCATCATTTCAAAATAATTCATAATGGACCACATAGGGCTTTGAGGGAACATTTCCAGCCAATTTGGAAATGTAGAAAGACTGATAGGATGAAATTGGCATCTCAGTGAGGGCCAGAATGAAGAAAATCAGTTCCTCATGTAAAATTGGAAGCCATGTTTTATAGGTACAAATAATAACAGCAAATGTAAATATATGCAAATCATATTTTGAGGTGGGATTAAGAAAGGAAGTACATATGAAAAGTGTACAGGAATTTCAAATTATAACAAAATTATCATAAATGATCAAAAAAGAGTGGAAAAATTCTAGGTCATTTTTTTAGATGTAATCTGTAATTTTATTTAGCTGGAATTTTGGTCATGCTGTTTCAATTCTATGTCATGTAGGGTCTTAAGTGTCAGGTAAAGTAATTAGGACATAATTGAAAGTAGTGAGTGGCTAATGATGGCTTTTAAGCATAGGATAATAAGGTGATAGTTGTATTCTAAGAAGATTAATCTGTCAGCAGTGTGTAGAAGTGAGAAGACCAAGTATTTCAGGTAAGGGACAGCATGTGTCTCAATTACTGTGATGCCAGGATGGAAAGAAATCTGTTTTATAGGTGAACTGCAAAGAATGTAATGGCACACTAGAGGCAGCAATATAGGGAAAAGGAAGCTTCAGAGGTTAGGAGCTGTATAGTTTAGAACTGATGCCTGAAGCACTGAAGCAAAATGAACAGCAAGGGCCTTGAAGAGAGAGGAGAGAGAAATCAAGTTTAGTTCTGGGTGTTGGATGAATGGATTGCATAACAAATATCTTTTTTAAACAAAAGACATTAAAACAATGGGCAGGGTTATGCAGATGAGTTGGTTTAGAGATAAATATTTCATTCCTACATTCAAAGAGACTTAAGGGGTATAGCCCAGGTAGAGCATCTGATTGTACAGAGATACTATTTAAGTAGGGAAGATGATGAAATCACTAAAGCAAAGAGTATATACAAAGAAGAGTGGGGACACATGACATACTTTAGGGGCAGATACAATACACTCAGGAAGCAAAGAAAGTTGTGGGTTGTTGAAACAAAGGGAGGCAATAGCATCAAAGGCAAAGTAGCAAATGCTAAAGGGAGATCAGAAGACTAAAACTTTCCCAGAAGTAAGTGGATTCACTTGCTAGAAGCTTCTTGGATTCTTTTGAGAACACAGCTTGAGAAGCAGACTTCAGACAGTGAAGTGGTAAGATCTGAACAAGGAAGAAGGGAGAGGAAGAATTTTTAGGATAGGGCTTCAAGAGCACAGATGAGGGGATTGAGTGGAGAGAGTAGCCATTTATCAGATTTGAGGGAAGCTGGGTGTGTCCATGTGCTTGTTGTCTGGTTGCTTGATCTGTTTTGATTTGTTTGTTTTTTGGAATAAGGATTGAATGTGTTTGTGGAAAGTGGATAAAGCAAGTGGAGAAGAGAGAATTGAAGTTAGAGAAAGAGAGAGAAGGAGAGGGAGATGGAGGTTTGGATGGGTAAATATTCCTTAAGAAGCCAAAGGGCTTTCAGTTAAGATTCTTGATGAGAGTGTAATTTGCTATGAAAAGAAAATGTACCGTTATGTTCATTTGTGAGTAAAGAGAGTAAGGGTTGTTACAAGTAAAGAGGAATCTTGAGAAAGAGTGAATTTACTGGTCCTTTCTTCCTAAGAGCTTTTAATCTGGGAGTCATACCATCAGAACTGTAGTTCCCTACAGAAAAGGGGAAGAAAATAGAGTAAGAGGAGAGTTGAGCACCAACCAACATTTCCCATTTTTTGTATTTGCCCAGGGCCAGCTGTGTTCAGAAATCCCTCAGAACTCCTTCAGACCTAGTGTTTTTCTTAACTCTACCAGGAAATGCAGTCTACTGCAGCATCTGGAGAACTGGCAGGGGCAGGCCCGCTTCAGCTGCCCGCTTCAGCTGCCATCCCCTTAGGCCCATGGAGGGACCACCCTCTCACACCAACTATGGAAATTATAATTACAGGTAAAACTGAAGAAAAATTTTTATTTTGTTTGAAAATCAAACCAACTTACCCACTCTATATGAATAAGAACAAAGGGCATAAATACTTATTCAGAAGGAAAAAGAAAGACAAAAAGATGAGTTTCGTTAAGCAAGAAGATCTGGAGAGACCATTCTTTTCATCTCCAGGGGAAAGAATCTTTTTTTTTTTTTTTTTTTTTTTTTGGTAAAAGAGACCAAACTCAATATTGCTTTTGAGTTTCTCCATTTCAGATTTAGGTCAAATGGAAATTGTTGATGGCAGGAATGTCTATGCCTTAATGCAGATATTTTAGTTGTAAATATACGCCATGAGGACAAGACTAATTTTGACAATTCTGAGGAAAACAGGAGAGAGTGACATCATTTATCATAACCAGAATGGTTTGAAGAAGTGTGGCTGGCTCTGCTGTTAGTGTGAGAACTCTTGATAAATGTTAGGTACCTCAGCCAGGACTGTACATGCACTAGCCTTTCCTTGAATATTTGTTTCAAAGGCCGCCTTCTCAATGATGCAGAGGTGCTGTTTAGTCCTTAGATTAAATAGACATCATCAAGTTAACATTAGAGTAGTGAATCCAGTATAAGAACACACTTTATTCTTTGGGATTAGGTCATAATTGGTAAATTCTATGGAGTTCTGAGGAAAGTTGAGACACTGCCACCCAGAGGTGATCTAGTTCCATTTGACTAGCAAATCTGAGGGTGATGATGCTGTGCTCAGCAGATCAACATGATAAAGCTGCTTATCCTTGATTCAGAGCTTTAAAAATTGTGACTTCCCGTTCTTACCCTCTCACTAACCCTTTCTTCAAAACAAGAATTTTTTTTAAAAGAAACTATCATACATCCTACTTAATCTATCTTCTTGTTGTCACATTGATCAACATATGCTCCAGTAATGTAGCAGTTGAATTTCAACTTCACAGGGTATGAAGGAATCTCTGAAATAAGCCCATGATCTCAGTAAGTCCCCACATCTGTCTAGCATAAAAGCTGGCTGGAGAGACCCAGACAAGGGTAGGTCTATGTTTGTGTAGAATCCCTTTTCCTCTATCTTCAATCCCAGCCAGTTCTCATGAATGGGGACTTATGTGTTATTTCTATTATGCATGTCTAACTGTTGAGGGTCTCATTAAGCATCACCACCTCCCACTCCCAAGCTAGTCACGTCTTTTTTTTTAAAGATTTATTTATTTATGCATACAAAAACTGGGGTGCAGGCCAGAGGTTAGAGGATTAGAGGATTAGGGGTTAGAGGATTCATGAGAGACAGAGTGGGGAGCAGAACAGGTGGATTCTCCTGAAATACACTGCTGAGGGGAGCAGCGGGGGATACAGGAGACAGGAGATGTATGCTGTGTCATGTGGGTAGCTCCCTGGCTAGGATCAAACTCATTCCACAGTGGCTGGTGATAGCTTGATAGCACTGAGATTTTAACCCTTGCATCACCAGGGAGGCCCACACATTTTCTTTTTCAAATGTGATTTAAAATAGAATGGAAATTCCCTGGGTAGGCCCATGTTGGCCACTGACACGATTACCCTAGGGACTCAAGAATTGGCTCAAGTAACCACCTGCTAGACAGGAGTAAAAGTCCGCTAGTTTGACTTGGGAATTTGAAAATTAATTTTTGAATCAGGTGTGAAGCCAAGAGTGTTCATCAATTCAACTGAGTTGCCTTATGATCAGCCCTCACAACCCCCGTGATTAGCAAAGCCCCAGGAAGGTCAAGCAACCCCAAAGGTACATTTAATATATATTTTAGTTTCAAGATAATATACATGCCTGCAAAGAAACCAGGCCATAGGTGATAATTATCGTGTTCTTTTCTTTTTTTAGAGTCTGGAAACTTCAACAAAATTTTGCCTTCTTTTGGCTGAGTAGAAACAGTTTATGAGCCAGGCTGATTATGAGCAGCTGCCCAGGTACTGTGATTTGATAGAAGGCTAGACAGGAATCGTACCTCCAGACTAAAAATATCTGCCTTCTTACCATGGCAACCCCTTTCTATTGGATTTTGGCTCATTTACTTAAATTGAGAGCACAGCTTCATAGACAGAACACAATCCACAGACTCAGAATCCCCTGATGGCAAAAAAAAAAACAAAAAACAAAAAACAAAAAAAACAACCTTATAATGTAAAGATATGTGTTTGAGAGAAAGATTGTTGGTAGATTTCTAAGCCCCTAATGTTATACATTGTATTGTATGAATAAAATCAAATATGGTATTTGGGTTAGAGTTTGCAAAAATCTGAAACTTCGGTTCATAAGCATAATGTAGTTGAACAAATAGCAAAGTAGAGACAGATTATAATAAAAGGATAGATTATAATTAAAAAAACCTACCTTTGAAAAAATAGTTTAATTAACTAAGAAATGAGTTGGCTATATATTGATAGAACTTTATGAAGAAATAGTTCAAATTGTATAGGAATAGAAGTTTTATCTTTTTCAAGTTGGGTTGCATAGAAACCATATTCAAATGCCTTGGTAGGGCCAAAAAATATATTTTCATTAAGGTTGGTGAAAATTAGAATTTCTTTTTCAGTATATTAACATAAACCTCATTTTAAAAAGAAGAAAAAATATTTAGTTAAAGAACTAGGCCAAATTCAATTTGGAATATCATTTAAAAAAAGAATGGAGTTTACATTTTGATTAACCAAAGTATAGTGTATGATTCCTATTATATTGAGTTTTATCTTACTTCATACAGAAAGAATATCCTTGAACAAGCAATCTATTAATTTTTTGGCTCCTGTGTAAGCTATTATAAAAGACATGACATCATTTGACTATTAAACATATACATTATTTTCTATCCCATGAAAAATGTTATAAAAGTTAATTAACAAAATTTGATAGGGTACTAAAACATGTGGAAATTTAACTTTATGTATTTATATTTCATTCTGATATCTTAATCAAATTGTAGTTATTTTTCAATGGAATAATCCTTTATATTGTAATGGCACACAATTTGGAATACAGATATAATAATACTACATCTATGATAAAATACACATTTTTTCCAAATAGTTGTCTTTTTTTTTTTTTTTTTTTTTTTTTAATCATCTTACAGGGGAAAAAAGCACTTTATTAGGGACTACTATAGTATGATATACAAGTTTGCAAAATATTTTCCTTTTTAAAACATACATCCTTTCTATTAATTTTATATGCTGATATAAAATCAACCAAATGTTATGTTTTATTACTTTGTCTATAATTTCACATAAGAAGGTTATGCACAATCTATAATTTTATATATATGAAGATTAGGAATTTTCTATTATTTGAAGCAATAATATCCTAAGGAATTCAATAAAAATGAGAAGGGGACAAGTTATATATTCACAATATTAACTGCTCTTTTATTAACACAGCCATATTTCTTTTTTTTTTTTTTTTTTTTTTTTTTTTATTGATAAAATATTTTTTTTTTTTTTTTAATAATAAATTTTATTGTTGTATTCCCCATACAATTGCAGCCCCCCCATTCTGACCCCAATCCCTCCCCTCCCGCCCCCCCCCCCCTAAAAGTGTCTCTGGTTCATAGTTTTTTGTTGATTTTGATTTTCACTTTCTTATAGTTATTCGTTTTCCTGGTCCCTTATTTAAGTTTTCTAGATTCCTGCTATGAGTGAGACCATCCGGTATTTTTCTTTTTCTTTTTGGCTTATTTCGCTGAGCATGATCCCTTCCAGCGCCATCCATGTTGCTGCAAATTGCATGTGTTTATCTTTTTTGAATGCTGAGTAATATTCCATGGTATATATGGACCACATCTTCTTGATCCAGTCATCTATTTTTGGGCATTTGGGTTGTTTCCAAAGCTTAGCTATTGTAAACAGTGCTGCTATAAACATAGGGGTGCAGGTGTTCTTTGGAATTGATGTTTCTGTGTCCTTTGGGTAAATACCTAGGAGTGGAATTGCTGGATCATATGGAAGCTCTATGTTTAGTAGGTCCAGAAATCTCCACACAGCTTTCCACAGTGGTTGGACCAGTTTGCACTCCCACCAACAGTGTAGAAGAGTTCCTTTTTCTCCACACCCTCGCCAGCATTTGTTGTTGCTAGTTTTTCCAATATGTGCCATTCTCACTGGTGTGAGATGGTATCTCATGGTAGTTTTGATTTGCATTTCCCTGATGGCAAGTGATGTTGAACATTTTTTCATATGCCTGTTGGCCATTTGCATTTCCTCTTGAGAGAAGTTTCTTTTTAGCTCTTCTGCCCATTTTTTGACTGGATTATTTTCTTTGTTGTTGTTGAGTCTCATCAGCTCTTTGCAGATTTTTGTGATCAGTCCTTTATCATTAGTGTTGGGTGCAAAAATGTTCTCCCAGTTGGTGGGGTTTCTCTTTGTTTTTGTTATTGTCTCTTTTGCTGTGCAGAAGCTCTTTAATTTGATGTAGTCCCAGCTGTTTATCTTTGCCTTCACTATCACTGCTTTGGGTGATGTGTTTGTAAAGATGTCTTTGATGTGCAAATCACGTAGTGTTTCGCCTATATTCCTTCTATATATTTTATGGTTTCAGGTCTTATGTCTAGTTCTTTAATCCATTTTGAGTTGATTTTTGTGTATGGTGTGAGGTAGTGGTCAAGCTTCATTCTTTTGCATGTAGCGACCCAGTTTTCCCAGCACCATTTATTGAACAAACTTTCTTTGCTCCAATACATAGTCTTTGCTCCTTTGTCAAAGATTAGTTGACCATAAATCTGTGGGTTTATTTCTGGATTTTCTATTCGATTCCATTGGTCTGTATGTCTGTTCTTGTTCCAATACCATGCAGTTTTGATGATTATGGCTTTGTAGTAGAGTTTGAAGTCTGGGAGTGTAATGCCTCCATTCCCTTCTTTTTTTTTCAGGAGAGCTTTGGCTATTCGGGTTTTTTGTGATTCCATATGAATTTCATCAATAATTGTTCTATTTCTTTGAAGAATGACATTGAAATTTTGATTGGAATAGCGTTGAATCTGTATATTGCTTTTGGAAGGATGGCCATTTTAATAATGTTTATTCTTCCAATCCACGAGCAGGGGATGTCTCTCCATTTCTTTGTGTCTTCTTCTATTTCTTTTAACAGTGTTTTATAGTTTTCTTTGTATAGGTCCTTTACCTCTTTTGTTAGATTGATTCCCAAATATTTGATTTTTTTTGTTTCAATAACAAAAGGGATGGTTTTTTTGATTTCTTCTTCTTCAGATTTATTGTTTGTGTATAGGAAGGCTACTGACTTTTGCGTGTTGATTTTGTATCCTGCCACTTTACTGAACTGATTGATGAGTTGAATTAGCTTTTCTGTGGAGTTTTTGGGGTTCTCTATGTATAATATCATATCATCTGCAAATAGTGATAGTTTGACTTCTTCTTTTCCTATTTGGATTCCTTGGATGTCTTTCTCTTGTCTTATTGCCCTGGCTAGGACTTCCAGTATTATATTGAAAAGCAGTGGTGAGAGTGGACATCCTTGTCTTGTTCCAGATCTTAATGGAATTGCTTTCAGCTTTTCACCATTGAGAATGATACTGGCTGTTGGCTTGTCATAGATGGCCTTTATGATGTTGAGGTATGTTCCTTGTATCCCAAGAATTTCAAGGGCTTTTATCATGAATGGGTGTTGCACTTTGTCGAAAGCTTTCTCAGCATCTATTGATATTATCATATGGTTTTTATATTTCTTTTTGTTGATGTGTTGGATAACGTTGGTTGATTTTCGGATGTTAAACCATCCTTGTGCCCCTGGAATGAATCCTACTTGGTCGTGGTGAATTATCTTATGGATACATTGTTGGATTCTGATGGCTAAAATTTTATTGAGGATTTTTGCATCAGTGTTCATTAGGGAGATTGGCCTGTAGTTTTCCTTTTTTGTGTTGTCCTTGTTCGGTTTTGGTATTAGTGTAATGTTGGCTTCATAGAACGTGTTTGGTATTGTCCCTTCCTTCTCAATTTTTTGGAAGAGTTTGTGAAGGATAGGCACTAATTCATCTCTGAATGTTTGGTAGAATTCATTTGTAAATCCATCAGGTCCTGGGCTTTTGTTTTTGGGGAGGTTTTTAATTACCATTTCAATTTCGCTAATTGTAATTGGTCTGTTTAGGTGTTCTATTTCTTCTTTATCTAGCTTTGGGTGATTGTAGAGTTGTAGGAATTTGTCCATCTCCTCTAGATTGTTAAACTTGTTTCCATATAACTGTTCATAGTAGTTACTGATTATTCTTTTGATTTCTGCTGTGTCCGTTGTGATTTCTCCTCTTTCATTGATGATCCTGTTTATTTGTGCTTTCTCCCTTTTTTCCTTTGTGAGCCTGGCTAGGGGTTTGTCTATTTTGTTTATTTTTTCAAAGAACCAGCTCTTGGTTTCATTGATCTTTTGGATTGTTTTTTTAGTTTCAATTTCATTTATTTCTGCTTTGGTTTTTATTATTTCTTTTCTTCTACTGGTTTTGGGTTTTTTGTTGTTCTTTTTCTAGATCTTTGAGCTTCGAGATTAGGTTGTTTCTTTGAGTTCTTTCTTGTTTCTTGATGTGAGCTTCTATTGCTATATATTTTCCTCTTATTACTGCTTTTGCTGCATCCCATACATTTAGGATATTGGTGTCCTCCTTGTCGTTCAATTCAAAAAATTTTTAATTTCCTCTTTGATCTCCTCATTAGTCCAGTGGTCTTCCAGTAGTGTGGTTTTTAATCTCCATGAGGTAGGAAAGTTCCTTGCCTTCTTTTTATGGTTTATTTCTAGTTTGATGCCTTCATGGTCAGAAAAGATGGTTGATATGATTTTAATCTTGGTGTATCTGTTGATGTTTGTCTTGTGCCCCAGTATGTGATCGATCCTGGAGAATGATCCGTGTGCGCTTGAGAAAAATGTGTACTCCGTTTTTTTGGGGTTTAGTGTTCTATAGATGTCTGTTAAGCCCAATTGCTCTAGGTCCTTATTTAGAGCTTTGGTTTCTTTACTTATTTTTTGTCTTGTTGATCTATCCATTGTTGATAGTGGTGTGTTGAAGTCTCCCACTACGTATGTGTTTTCTCTGATGTCTGTTTTCAGAGAGGACAACAGTTGTCTGATATATTTTGGTGCTCCTTCGTTTGGTGCATATATGTTAATGAGTGTTATTTCTTCTTGAAATATTGTCCCCTTGATCATAATGTAGTGACCATTGGGGTCTCTTTTTATCTTTTTGAGTTTGAAATCTGTTTTATCTGATATAAGTATAGCTGTTCCTGCTTTCTTTTTTGGCCCATTTGCTTGTAGGATTGTTTTCCATCCTTTAACTTTGAGCCTATTTTTATCTTTTGTAGCTAAATGTGTTTCCTGTAGACAGCAAAAGGTTGGGTTTTGTTTCTTAATCCAGGCTGCAACTCTGTGTCTTTTTATTGAAGAGTTTAGTCCATTTACATTTAGAGTTAATATTGATATGTTAACATCTGTATTTGCCATTGTGTTTGTCTTTCCTTTGATTTTATTTATTTATTCTTTTAATAACTTTTTTTTTTTTTGGCCTTCTTTGTTATTCGTCCCTCTGAGGTTCTGGCTTTAGGACTCCTTGTAGTATTTTTTGGAGTGGGGGTTTAGTTGCAATGAAATTCCGGAGTTTCTGTTTGTCTGGGAAGGTCCATATTCTTTCTTCAAAGAGGAAGGAGAGCTTTGCGGGATAGAGTATTCTTGGTTGGCATCTGTTTTCTTGGAGTCTGTTGACTATGTCCCTCCACTCTCTCCTTGCCCGTAGTGTTTCTTCGGAGAAGTCTGATGTCAGCCTGATTGGCTTTCCTTTGAATGTTATCTGTTTCTTCCCTCTTGCCAGCTTCATTATTTTTTCCTTGTCCTGGATTCTTGGGAGCTTTACTATTATGTGTCTTGCTGTATTTTTTCTTTCGTCGTGGAAGTTTGGTGTTCTTCTTGCTTCTTGTATATCAATTTTCAGCTCCTTCTTCACATTTGGGAAGTTCTCTTCAATTATCTCTTTGAATATTTTCTCTGTTCCTACTTCTCTCTCCTCTCCTTCTGGTATTCCTATAACTCTTATATTTCCTTTCCTCATGGAGTCAGATAGTTCCCGAAGTCTTTCTTCATTCTTTTTCCTTCGTACTTCTCTTTCCTTTTCTGTTTTGGTTCTTTTTATTTCTGTGTCTTCAAGAGCACTTATTCGTTCTTCCATTTCATCAATTCTGCTTTCATTGCTTTTCCCAGAATTCTTTAGTTCTTCCACTAATTCTTTGATCTCCTGCATTTCTTTTACTTCCCTCTTTAGGGACTCAATTTCATTCTTCTGATCGTTGATTATTTTTCCCTTATCATTGTTTTCCTTTATGACTTCTGTCAGTTTTTTAATCACGGCAATTTTAAATTCTCTTTCTGGAAGGCTCAGAAGTTCTTCCAAGTTACTGTCGTTGCAATCTGAGGGCTGGTTTTCTTTTTGTGGTGTGCTTTTTTTCTGGAGAGTTGCTAGGTTGCGTGTGGTTCTTCTTCTCCCTACTGTCTGTTTTCTAATTTGCCGTATGCGTTGGGACACTGTGTAGTTGGGACTGGCCGGCATCTTGGGTGAGCTTCTCTGCTCCCCTCTGGTTCCTCCAGGAGTCATCTGTCAGTTTCAAGCAGTCTTTATTGGAGAAAGGTCCCTGTCCTAAAATGTCGATGTGGGGACACACTCCCCTGTGCGCCTGGTCTGCCCCGGCGGTGGGTTCCTGCTCCCCCACTGGGCTTGGACTGCAGGCCAGAGGGGGTCTGGCGTGGGCGAACTTCCCCCGCTCACCTCTGGCTCCTGAGGAAGCCTTCTGCAGGTAGTCTTTACTGAAGAAATGTCCCTGTTCTAAAATGGTGATGTGGGACACACTCCCTGCGCGTACGGTGTCAGGCACACTCTTCTGCGTGCCTGGTCTGCCCCGGCTGTGGGCGCTCGCTCCCCCTGTGGGCTCAGACTACTGGTCGGAAGGGGCCAGGTGTGGGCTAACTCCCCAGCTGGCCACTATCTCCTTCAGGAGCCTGTGCTGGCTACAAGTCGCTAGGTGGCGCCAGAGATCTCTCCTAGAGCCCTTGGGGAGCTGATTTTCCACCCCGTGGGACAGGGAGCAGAGCGGGGATGGTAGGGTACACCTCAACGGCTTTGGGGTGCTGTGTCTGCCTTGTGCCCCACGGTCGTGCGGAACCCACGCCCCTAATTTCGTGCCCCGGGTCTCAGTTCCAAAGCCCTCAGTTCCAGGACGCGGGCTGTAGCCCAGATCAGTGGCGCGGGAATGGCGCCTTTTGAATCCCGCTCCCCTGCCTGGGCGCCTGGTTCCTGCTCACTCCGGGAGGGCCTCCGCGCGTCTCCCCACAAGCCTAGGTCGTCTCCCGGCAAGCCTAGGTCGCAGGCGCGGGGACCTGGGCAGCTGCGATCCGATCCGCGCAATCCGCGCCGCTTTCCCCGCGCAATCCCGCTCCGTGTCTGTTTTTCCGGCGCGCCGCTTCCGCGCAGGCTTACCGGGCGGCCGGGGCTGTGTGCTGGGGCTGGTCTCCTCCTGGGCGGGGCTCTCTGCAATGGCGCCCGGAGCTCACCTCCGCGGCGGATCCTGCGGGGGTTCTCCACAGCTCCCGTTCACAGGGTGTGGTGGCTGCAATAGTTCCTTTCCACTCACAGTCCCGCTTGCTGCGTCCTTTGTTCTTGTTGGCAGTTTTAGTGTGTCGTTTTCCTCCTCTCTGCGGGTCGGAGAGTGCCGCCTCTGTGGGCGGGGGAGGGGAGCAGGGTTCTGCGCTTCCCTGCCTTCTGGTCCTCTTTTATGGCAACTTTCTTCTTCGGGCAGTTTGCTGGTGTCGTCCGTTTATCTTCCGTGTCACAGTTCTCACTGGGACCTGCCGCTTTTCCTCCCTATTAACTTTTTTTTAATGGGAGATCTTACTTGCAGCGTCTCCTCGCCGCCATGTTCCATATTTCTGTGTCCCAGAGTTAAGTTTCAATTCTGCAGAATTCTGTGGTTCTTTGTTAACCAGACAACATAAGCACCATATTAGAATTTTTTGGCTTTCATCCACATCTGTGTCACCCAGTCCACGACCAAAAGACAAGCACAGTTTCTTCACGTGTCTCTAGGCTCCATGTGCCTCCTCCAGGTCTCCTTCTGGCTCCATCCTGCTTCCTTCCTCAGTCTCTTCTCCCAAATAGTTGTCTTAATAAGTTCCATGGTACAACTCATTAGAAAGTTGGATTCAGAGATTTTTAAAGTATAAAGACTAGGTTATATATTGATGTTTCTGCAAGTCTGTGATGAGACTAGATAAATGTAATGCTTCTAAATATGCTTTAAAATAAGTGTAAGTGCTGCTTATATTATTCTACTTTTTAGCTCCACAACTACTAATATTCAGGTGTGCAAAGACTATATATTTAAAAACAAGAATTGAAAGACCTAGAGCAGGAGTAGACATTGCACTGTTGGTTTGTATGACCCTAGCCATCCTTGTCCTAAATAAAAGTACTGCAATACCTGGCCCCAGATCTTGACTTCATATCATTGTGGGAGGTAGGCATTAAACTGCTGAATTCTGACGCCATCTGTATGACTTAAATCCTGAGAGATATATTGTCTCTGGTGCCGAGGCCAGAATCAACCTCAGCTGCCAAGTGGTAGAATGAAAGAGGGATGTAAACAGCTTGATGGAGGGGTGGTTCCTGGTGCACCTGTGGTTTTGACAGCTTTTGCTGCTGCTTGAGGAGGAAACAGGTTGCCTGTTTGTTCTTCAAGAGCACTTCTGGCATCCAGGTATTAGCAGGCATGCACTGCCAGCTGTGAAAGATGCTGCTTCCTTGTCACTTCAGAAAAAGATGCTCCTACAGGAAGATCCCTCTTGCTATTTTGTTCAGGGAGCCTGAGAAAAAGGAAGACAAAAAGGATCAAATTCAAAGCCCAGGTTACTAGAGGGGCCGGGGTCTGAAGTAACTTATATGTCTAAGTCTTCTTACTTTCAAACTGGACAGTGCTACAATAGATGAGAATGATTTAATTGCAGTAGTTGTTTAAACAAGATTCCATTATTGGATGAGTTCAAGAAAAGAATAGGAAGAAGGTGCGTATAGATCTGCTTTTGACTGCCTGTGTCCTTAAACATCCAGTGTTCCATCCAGGTGAAGAGAAGGAAGACTCTTTGTTAGAATATCATGAATGCAGAAAAATAAAATATTAAACCATCAGGTCTAATTACCACTTGAAAATTTTTAACTGAAAAAAAAAAAAAAAGCTTCACAGTCTATCACTGTTGCATATATTATTTATTCCATGACTAAATTAGACATGTATACCTTAAGACAGATGTCAAAAAGATAAAAATACATTTCTTAACAACTAATAGATCTATTATAGAACTTTAACACTTAAAATGATGTGGTTTCATTGATATAATGAATCAGTAAAACAGAAAGTCTAAGATAGACTCTAGAGTCTAAGAGAATGTCATGTATGATAAAAGGGGCTTTAAAATCAGTCTGAAAGAGGTAGATTATTCAATAAACTGTAAGACAGGTGGCTAGCTACTAGAAAGAAAGACATGCTAGATCCCTTTCTTATATTAGATTAAAGACCTTGTGTTAGACAAAAGTAATGAAGGATGAAAGGCTTAAAGTAAAAATTGAATAGTATCACAAAACATTTAAGAACAATTTTAATAATCTGAGTAAAAATGTTGTTTTTAATAACTCATAAAATTAGAAACAAAGAAATGGTTTAATCTGTAATAATTTAAATCTTTAAAATCTTTTAAAATTAGCAAAGCATTCATATCCTTAATGTGTGAAAAATCTTACTAATCAGTAAGGGTAGAAGATAGTAATCTCAGTAGAAAAATTGGTAAAAATTAATATTAGGAAATAGACAAAGGATGAACCATGAATGGCTAGTAAAGATTGTTAGAGGAAGAAAAAAAGTAAGAGGAGTGGAGAACAAAGAGGGAAAGGGAATGAGAGAAAGCACTTGTGAGGGCAGAATAGACAGGGAACATATAGAAAGGGCAAAAGGAAAGAAATCACCATTGCACTTAACAAATTGGACAGATTTGTAGACTGGGTCATTCTTTTACACCAATATACATTATATTTCAATACTAATTATGCATTGATTTGACTTAGCAGTTTCAGTTCTAGAAAGTTATTCTCACCGTTATTATAGCTATGAAAATATTCACAGCAGAATGCTTTCTAATAGGGATTATAATAAAGAAAACAGACTAAATATTCATCAAGGTGTTATTTTATTGAATGATGGCTTATATTATAATTGGATTTTGAAGTTACATTGAAATAATGATGCTGAATTAAAATATTATTTGAAAATATATTTGAACATATTGTTGATTGGAAAAAAGAGAATACAGAACATATAGATTATTTTCCTAGTTATGTATTTATGTGTGTGTCTGTTAATATATGCATATTGCATACATATCTAAGAGTCATTACAAAAGAATGCCAATGATGGTAATATCTAGGTGGTGGCATTTGAAGTAAACCGTTGTTGGATATTTGTACATTCCTGATATTAAGTCACTTTTTGTGTTTGTCATTGTTACAAAATGAATGTTATTTTCAAAAGATAAAATGCATTTTACTAATTTTAATTTTGAGTTGTCGTTTTTTGGACTGTTTTAGTAACATGCACTTTTTACCTTGATTGATTTCCACACATACTATCCTAACAACATTCTAAAAACATTCTATCTGGAATTATATTGCCTGAAGACTTAGTCAAAGAAAGCTCCATGCCCTTATCTTCCTGTATTTACCCGTTGATCACTTTTGGCGTGTTTGGTATTTTGTTTAATCTATAATTCAGATATACTCAGCATATCTCATAAGATTTGATGATCTAGTTTATAATTACTTTCATTATTGTAAAATCTTAAAATTTGGTAGGTCAATAAATAGGGTTATAAATAAATGATTTTCAACCTCCTCTTTATAACAGCTCCAAATGCTTCCATTTAGTTTTGAACACATCTCAATATATCCACAAAAAGCCTCTAAACAAAATTAAGTTTAATTCACTCTAAAGGAAAGCACTTCTACAGACCATTTTAAGGAAGGGGGGAGCCAATTTAAATAAATTATCAGATACTCATTTTATACAGATGAGTGCCACTAATTACAATCAGTCTCATCTATTCATTAAAACTAGTCCAGCAAGCTTGGATAAACTTTGTCAGCAGTTAGTCACTGCATGTATATGAAAATTTTATGACAACATTTCTTTAAATATATGATATATTTTGGAATTTTTTTTTACTTATTTAGAACATTTTCAAGGCATACCCAAAGAGGTTTTACAAAATTACTAATTTTTGTGCACTTATTCCTATATATATCTAGTTAAGCATTTTTAATATTCTCTTCTCAGTATTCTATTCTCCATTCTCTCTCCATTCTCTTCCTTTAAATCCTCAGCAGTTTTAAGTTATCACATAGGTGTCTAGTGTAAGCTATAAGTACTAGGAAAATCGCTCTATTGTTCTTGCATGCTGTTCAATTTGTTGTAATTCATTTTTATTGAACTGTTCCAGGGCGGTGTCATCTAAGCTATCATGTTCTCTAGTCCCTTACTGGACCTGTGATGGAAAAATCAAATTGAATTGGGCTTAACACTTGTAAAACCACTACAGCATGCCACTTGCTTTTCTTTCCTACATTGATAATGGAAAATCATGCACTGATCCTGTGTTCTTTTGTTTTATTGCTATTGTCATTTTTTTTCCCTAAAAACTTACAGTATACAATACTCCAAGCATAGCAGATACTGTCTTTGTCTAAGCACGCTTTGTCTAAGCATACTTTTGATTGAGCATGTGACCTGCTGGACTGATATTTTTATGTGTATAACCTGCTTGTTGTAAGAAGGCCACTGTTCCAGAAACTTCCTGAATGATTTACAACCAGAGAGCCATGTGCCTCTACCACCTTATACAATAGTCTAACCCACAAACTTCTCCTTTTATAAGTTTTTAATAGCTGTATTTTTGTTAGAAGATAAACTAAGTGGATATGTTCATGCAAAACTTTCCTTAACTAATCGGGAAAAAGGAGATTTTTATCTGTTTATACTTCAATCTCTAATATCTAGCATAGTGGCTGGCATATTATGGATGCTTCCTAAATATTTGTTGACTGAATAAATATGTTTTATTTATCAATTTAATAAAAATAGACTAAGAGTGTAAAATGTCCTTTTCAGTTATATTTTAAATAGTGAGGATAACAAATATGACAGAAGACCCTTCTAGAATCATGGCTACATGGTATTTACCAGCAGCATTGTAAGTTTTTAAACTTTAGGATTCTTTGGGAATTCCTTTATCAACTTAGCAATTAATTTAAATCTATTGTAATTAATTTCTGAGAAACCTGCAAAAGCCTATTAGCTGGTATTTATAAACCAGCTGATACTAACTTGGGAGAGCTGATTGGAATAAATCAGCCTATATCAGCTAGATATGCTGCCCTGGCATATGTCCAAATAGAAACAGACTATTTCCAAGTTTCAGGAAAGGTAATTAAATTCAGCTTAAAATGCATCTAAAAAGTCATTGTCTGATCTACTGGTCCATGGAAATAAATAATTACATATTGTATTAATAGAGTATCTGTTTATCAGGGGTTCAAAGCACTGTTTTAATAAGCAAATCTTCAAAATATTTTCATGAACAGAAAGGGAGGGCAGATGTTTTCTGTGTATATCATTTACTGGAAAACAATGCTTTGTGGAAAGTCATTGGCTGATCAAAAGGTATCTATTCTTCTTTGAGTTAGGGTTCTACATTCCCTTACCCATAGAATATATCACCCAGCAATTTGTAGGGCATTGACTTTGACTTTCTTTTTAAAAAATAGTTCATCTCACAGATGTACCACCCTCTTTCATTGCTCTCTATAACACTCAGAGGACTGAGATCTTCTAGCAAATGCCAAGGCTGTTTCTTTTAAACTAAAAACAAAATGCAAACTTGCCTTCTTTCTCCCTGATCCACTGTCCTTCACCCACTGCTCCCTCCATCACCACACTCAATCACAGTAGAGGACATTCCATGAATACACTGTGTCTGACCTCTGAATCTTTTCTTAGATCAGAGATTACAGTTTTGTTCTTCGTTTATGTTAATCTACTTTTTACTGTTTGGTCTTCTGTTGACCTTCAACTTGCAATCTTACTTGACTATCTGGACTCATAATTACTTTTTCCTTCATAATCCTAAGTATCAACATTTACTTTTTTTTTCTTTCCTAAATCAGATGTCTTAACAGATATACTATGTATCTATCAATACCTGTTAGAGAAAGTTCTTGAGGACTTTGCATCTATGGTATAGGGGATCCTACTCATTTCTCTGCATACGGAAGACGTTGCCCTGTTGTCTGACTCATCAGGTACTCTCTTCCTTAAATGCTCTTATCCTCTCTCATCTTAGAATTCAGTTCAATAGTTAACCTAGAACCTAACATGACTCCTTAAATGTGTAGGATCATTGCTTACCTCTGGACATGTTCACACTGTCACTGTAACCACAGTAATTAGACTTTTGTCATAAGGAGACAAGAGGTAGAAGGTTAAGAGCTCATGGAATGTAATAAGTATAGCATTATGTTCAAGAATGCAACCCCCCAAAATCAAAATTTATACATCTAAGATAAAGGAGACACATTGTTCAATGTCACATTATTTTTGTCCTTGATCTTTTTGTTCATTTCAGAACAGTATATCTTATATTCTAAAGAACAGAATCCTAATTATGAATCACAGTTTACCCAAAAGAATCCATTAGCTATAGCATTCACTTTTCTGTATACTTTGAATTTCAACAATATGCATATATTACCTTTATGCTATTAA